AAGATGATAGAGAGATACAGAGATGGATGGATGGATGGATGGATGGATGAACGGATGGATAGATAGTTAGATCAAGGGATAGAGAGAGAGAGAGAGAGAGATGGATACATAGGTTGATACATGGATGGGTGGGTGGACAGATAGAGAGATTGAGCCATAAACAGATAGATGGATAGATAGATAAACAGACAGGTAGACAGATGAATAGATAGATAGATAGATAGATAGATAGATAGATAGATAGATGGAGAGATCAAGAGATCAATCAACAGATAGATAAAGAAATCAAGAGAATGGTGGATTGATAGATAGATCAATAGATTGATTGATCAATAGATAGAATCCTAGAAATGGAAGAGAACCCAAATGCCATCCAGTCCACCCCCATTCTGTTATCCAGGAATCCATCATTCAACCCCTCCCAACAGATGGCCACCCAGCCTCTGCTTCAAGACCTCCAGAGAAGGAGACAGATGGACAAACAGACCTGTTGGGTAGGACAGAGGGTCTGCTCTAGTGTATTGCAGGGGTCCTTACCTTGCATTGGTGGCAGCATTCCCCTCCGGAGGCGCATTGGGCTCCTGGCGCCAGGCGGCACGTGCTGGCGTTGCAACAAGGGTCGTCGCATTCCTGGGAGGGGAGAGCGCGGGGAGGGAAGGGGTCTCAATGGCAGAAAGGGCAACGGCCTTGCGTTTGCCTATGATGGACAACTTAAGACTGTTTCTAATCCACAAAGGATCTGCTCCTTCCTTTCAATACGGGACCCCAGGACAACAAGTTGAAATAGGGAGCACATTCATAGACAACTAAGGACCCCCAGGGACCACCCTGCCCAACCCCCTCGGTCCCTCTGCATAAATAATAATAATAATAATAATAATAATAATAATAATAATAGAAACAGACTTGGAAGGGACCCCGAGGGCCATCCAGTCCAGCCCCCTATTGCCATAATAGATGGGTGGGTAGGTAGGAAGGTAGACAGATAGAATAGATATATGATGGAACAGATAGATAGATAGATAGATAGATAGATAGATAGATAGATAGATAGATAGATAGATAGATAGATAGATAGAAAGAAGAATAGGTAGGTAGGTAAGTAGGTAGATACAGAGATGGATAGATAGACAGATGGATAGATGGTGGGATAGAAAGAAAGATAGAAAGATGGAGAGAGAGATAGAGATGGATGGATGGACGGACGGACAGAAAGATGGGGAGATAGATAGATAGATAGATAGATAGAGGGGTAGGTAGGTAGATACAAAGATGGATAGACAGATGGATGGATGGTGGGATAGATAGAAAGAAAGATAGAAAGATGGAGAGAGGGGGTGGATGGATGGATGGACGGACGGATAGAGGAATAGGTAGAGAGGTAGATAGGTAGGTAGGTAAGTAGGTAGATACAAAGATGGATGGATGGTGGAATAGAAAGAAAGACAGAAAAATGGGGAGACAATAGATAGATAGATAGATAGATAGATAGATAGATAGATAGATAGATAGAGGAATAGGTAGGTAGGTCGGTAGGTGGGTAGGTAGATAGATGACATAGAATAGATAGATGATGGAATAGATAGACAAATGGATAGATGGTGGGATAGAAAGAAAGACAGATAGAAAGATGGTAAGACAGATAGATGGATGGATGGACGGACGGTGGGACAGACAGACAGATAGAAAGATGGGTGGATGGATGGATAGATAGTGAGATAGATGGATGGATGGATGGTGGAATAGACAGACAGACAGAAAGATGGGGAGATAGACAAATAGAGAGAGAGAGACTGAGAAATGGATGGATGGTGGGATAGACAGGACGGATGGACAGACAGACAGAAAGATGGGGAGATAGATAGATGGATGGATGGTGGGTCAGACAGACAGAAAGATAGATGGATAGATGGATGGATGGTGGGTCAGACAGACAGACAGACAGACAGAAAGACGGATGGATGGATGGATAGATGGATGGATAGATGGATGGTGGGACAGACAGAAAGATGGATGGATGGATGGATGGATGGATAGAAAGATAGATGGTGAGATGGATGGATGGAGGAATAGACAGACATACAGAAAGATAGACAGATAGATAGAGAGATTGAGAAATGGATGGATGGTGGGATAGGCAGACAGATAGAAAGGTGGGGAGATGGATGGATGGATGGTGGGATAGACAGTCAGACATACAGAAAGATGGGGAGATAGATATCTGGATGGATAGATAAATTGATGATGGAATGAATAGATAGATGGATGGATACAGATATAAAAATAGATAGAATCCTAGAGTTTGGAGGGACTCCTAGGGGCCACCCATCCTGACCCCCTTCTGCCTTAAATGGAGCCCCCATCTGATCCCTCCTGAGAGATGGCCCTCCTTCCTCACCAGCCGGAGCCCGCAATCGCATTCCTCCCCGGCCTCCAGGAGACGGTTCCCGCAGCGGGCACCCACTGTTTGGGTTGGATCCGGGGCGTCTCGCAGGCACCAGGCCCGGTCACTTCCCAGAAGGTCTTGCGCTTGTTGGAGGGTGCAGTGGCTGAAGGTCAGTCCTGGCATGACCCTAAGGGAGGAGAGGGAGAAGTCAAGGCTGGGGCCCACAGAAGCTGTTTTGCCATAAAGGGGGAGGGTGTCCTGACCGACTTAATCAAACGATCCCTATAACAGATAAGATCATTGCAGGACTCCTACAATGAACACTTGAGTTGAAAGATTCTTATCAGTTGCAAGAGTCCTATAAGAAGAGGGACAGGGACACGTGAGTTAAATAATTACTGCAAGATACATTTGAACTGAAAGATTCCTACAAAGAACCCTTTAGTTAAAGGATTCCTACAAAGGACACTTGAGTTAAAAGATTCCTATAACGTGAGGGACAGGGACCCTTGAGTTAAAGAATTCCTGCAAGAGACACTTGAGTTGAAAGATTCCTACAAGGAATGTTTACATTGCAAGATTCCTATAAGGAGAGGGACCAGGATGCTTGAGTTTAAGGATTCCTGCAAGGGATGCTTTCATTGCAAGATTCCTATAAGGAGAGGGGCAAGTACGCTTGAGTTAAAGGATTCCTGCAAAGGACACTTTCATTGCAAAGTCCCCTCAAGTGATAGTGGAGTGAATGGATTCCCCTAAGGAGAGGGGCAAGGACGCTTGAGTTAAAGGATTCCTCCAAGGGACACTTTCATTGCAAGATTCCTATAAGGAGAGGGGCAAGTACGCTTGAGTTAAAGGATTCCTGCAAAGGACACTTTCATTGCAAAGTCCCCTCAAGTGATAGTGGAGTGAATGGATTCCCCTAAGGAGAGGGGCAAGGACGCTTGAGTTAAAGGATTCCTCCAAGGGACACTTTCATTGCAAGATTCCTATAAGGAGAGGGGCAAGTACGCTTGAGTTAAAGGATTCCTGCAAACGACACTTTCATTGCAAAGTCCCCTCAAGTGATAGTGGAGTGAATGGATTCCCCTAAGGAGAGGGGCAAGGACGCTTGAGTTAAAGGATTCCTCCAAGGGACACTTTCATTGCAAGATTCCTATAAGGAGAGGGGCAAGTACGCTTGAGTTAAAGGATTCCTGCAAAGGACACTTTCATTGCAAAGTCCCCTCAAGTGGTAGTGGAGTGAATGGATTCCCCTAAGGAGAGGGGCAAGGACGCTTGAGTTAAAGGATTCCTCCAAGGGACACTTTCATTGCAAGATTCCTATAAGGAGAGGGGCAAGTGACGCTTGAGTTAAAGGATTCCTGCAAAGGACACTTTCATTGCAAAGTCCCCTCAAGTGATAGTGGAGTGAATGGATTCCCCTAAGGAGAGGGGCAAGGACGCTTGAGTTAAAGGGTTCCTCCAAGGGACACTTTCATTGCAAGATTCCTATAAGGAGAGGGGCAAGTATGCTTGAGTTAAAGGATTCCTGCAAAGGACACTTTCATTGCAAAGTCCCCTCAAGTGATAGTGGAGTGAATGGATTCCCCTAAGGAGAGGGGCAAGGACGCTTGAGTTAAAGGGTTCCTCCAAGGGACACTTTCATTGCAAGATTCCTATAAGGAGAGGGGCAAGTATGCTTGAGTTAAAGGATTCCTGCAAAGGACACTTTCATTGCAAAGTCCCCTCAAGTGATAGTGGAGTGAATGGATTCCCCTAAGGAGAGGGGCAAGGACGCTTGAGTTAAAGGATTCCTGCAAAGGACACTTTAGTTGCAAGGTTGCTCTAAGGAGAGGGGCAAGGACGCTTGAGTTAAAGGATTCCTACAAAGGACACTTTAGTTGCAAGGTTGCTCTAAGGAGAGGGGCAAGGACGCTTGAGTTAAAGGATTCCTACAAAGGACACTTTAGTTGCAAGGTTGCTCTAAGGAGAGGGACAAGGACGCTTGAGTTAAAGGATTCCTACAAAGGACACTTTAGTTGCAAGGTTGCTCTAAGGAGAGGGGCAAGGACGCTTGAGTTAAAGGATTCCTACAAAGGACACTTTAGTTGCAAGGTTGCTCTAAGGAGAGGGACAAGGACGCTTGAGTTAAAGGATTCCTACAAAGGACACTTTAGTTGCAAGGTTGCTCTAAGGAGAGGGGCAAGGACGCTTGAGTTAAAGGATTCCTACAAAGGACACTTTAGTTGCAAGGTTGCTCTAAGGAGAGGGACAAGGACGCTTGAGTTAAAGGATTCCTACAAAGGACACTTTAGTTGCAAGGTTGCTCTAAGGAGAGGGACAAGGACGCTTGAGTTAAAGGATTCCTATAAAGGACACTTTAGTTGCAAGGTTGCTCTAAGGAGAGGGGCAAGGACGCTTGAGTTAAAGGATTCCTACAAAGGACACTTTAGTTGCAAGGTTGCTCTAAGGAGAGGGGCAAGGACGCTTGAGTTAAAGGATTCCTACAAAGGACACTTTAGTTGCAAGGTTGCTCTAAGGAGAGGGACAAGGACGCTTGAGTTAAAGGATTCCTACAAAGGACACTTTAGTTGCAAGGTTGCTCTAAGGAGAGGGACAAGGACGCTTGAGTTAAAGGATTCCTACAAAGGACACTTTAGTTGCAAGGTTGCTCTAAGGAGAGGGGCAAGGACGCTTGAGTTAAAGGATTCCTACAAAGGACACTTTAGTTGCAAGGTTGCTCTAAGGAGAGGGGCAAGGACGCTTGAGTTAAAGGATTCCTACAAAGGACACTTTAGTTGCAAGGTTGCTCTAAGGAGAGGGACAAGGACGCTTGAGTTAAAGGATTCCTACAAAGGACACTTTAGTTGCAAGGTTGCTCTAAGGAGAGGGACAAGGACGCTTGAGTTAAAGGATTCCTACAAAGGACACTTTAGTTGCAAGGTTGCTCTAAGGAGAGGGGCAAGGACGCTTGAGTTAAAGGATTCCTATAAAGGACACTATAGTTGCAAGATTCCTATAAGGAGAGGGACTGGGATGCTTGAGTTAAAGGATTCCTGCAAAGGACTCTTTCACTGCAAAGTCCCCACAAGTGACACTGGAGTGAATGGATTCCGCTAAGGAGAGGGGCAAGGACGCTTGCGTTAAAGGCTTCCTGCTGGGGCTGAACAATAGGCCTCCCCCCGAAGTGGTGCTGACCCTGTGGGGGCCTCCATGATGCAGCTGCGCCCGGGGGGCAGGTTGGGGCTGGACCCATCGCAGCCGCATTGGGGTCCGTCGTGGCCGAAGCCCAGGCTGTGTCCCAGCTGGTGGGAGACGGTGGAGGCCATCACCAGTGGGCTGACCGAGTGGTCCTGCAAGGGAAGAGAAGGGGGCTTAGCGGGGGGGGGGGGCCTTTCCCCACTACACCACCCATCGTCCCCAGCTGACCCTCCACTCACCCGATTGACCCCTGCGGAGCCATTGGAGCAGATGGACCCCTGGATGGAGGCCCCAAAGGCACCGCCCGAGAACAGGGAGCCCCTGAAAGACAACGTCAACAGCAAGGTTGCTCTAACTGAGGTAGGAAAGGGAAGAGGGTGGTCTCCCTTGCAAGGTGCCTCTCTCCCTTGGAGGTCATGCTTACAGGAGGAGCTGTGCGCTGTCGTGGGGCCTGCGCGGGAGGAGCTCCTTCTCCCTCCACTGCAAGAAGCGCTGCAGCACCTCCCGAGGAGACCCCTCCGTCACAATGGGGTCCCCCCCACTCCATACCTCCAGGCCCACCAGGGAGACCCTCAGCCCCACGGAGCGGAAGAACTGCAACAAGGGGGAAAAAGAGGGGACACAGTTTGCAAGGTTGCAACACAGCAGGCGTTCCAGGATTTCCATATTATTATTATTATCATCATCATTAGTATCATCTAGAAGACATTGGCAGGATGACATTATTATTATTATTATTATTATTATTATTATTATTATTATTATTATTATTATTACCCATTAGTATTACTTAGAAGACATTGTCAGGATGACATTATTATTATTATTATTATTATTATTATTATTATTATTATTATTATTATTATTATTACCATTAGTATTATCTAGAAGACATTGGCAGGATGACATTATTATTATTATTATTATTATTATTATTATTATTATTATCATTTGTATTATCTAGAAGACATTGGCAGGATATTATTATTATTATTATTATTATTATTATCTAGAAGACATTGTCAGGATGACATTATTATTATTAATTTATTATTATTATTATGATTAGTATTATCTAGATGACATTGTCAGGATGATATTATTATTATTATTATTATTATTATTATTATTATTATTATTACCCATTAGTATTATCTAGAAGACATTGGCAAGACGATATTATTATTATTATTATTATTATTATTATTATTATTATTATTATTATTACCCATTAGTATTATCTAGAAGACATTGGCAAGACGATATTATTATTATTATTATTATTATTATTATTATTATTATTATTATTATTACCATTAGTATTATCTAGAAGACATTGGCAGGATGACATTATTATTATTATTATTATTATTATTATTATTACCCATTAGTATTATCTAGAAGACATTGGCAGGACGACATTATTATTATCATTATCATTATTATTACCATTAGTATTATTTAGAAGACATTGGCAGGATGACATTATTATTATTATTATTATTATTATTATTATTATTATTATTATTACCCATTAGTATTATTTAGAAGACATTGTCAGGATGACATTATTATTATTATTATTATTATTATTATTATTATTATTATTATTATTATTATTATTACCATTAGTATTATCTAGAAGACATTGGCAGGATGACATTATTATTATTATTATTAATTTATTATTATTATTATTACCATTAGTATTATCTAGAAGACATTGTCAGGATGACATTATTATTATTATTATTATTATTATTATTATTATTACCATTAGTATTATCTAGAAGACACTGTCAGGATGACATTATTATTATTATTATTATTATTATTATTATTACCATTAGTATTATCTAGAAGACACTGTCAGGTTGACATTATTATTATTATTATTATTATTATTACCATTAGTATTATCTAGAAGACATTGG